TGTCAATCCAGCTGCTGCAAGCCCTGCTGTTGTCAATCCAGCTGCTGCAAGCCCTGCTGTTGTCAATCCAGCTGCTGCAAGCCCTGCTGCTCTTCAGGCTGTGGGTCATCTTGCTGTCAGTCCAGCTGCTGCAAGCCATGTTGCTGTCAATCCAGCTGTTGTGCCCCTGTATGTTGTCAGTGCAAGATCTGAGGTTCTGTCTACATACCTCAGACAGTTCCTGAAAATCTCATCCTCGAGGATTGACCGAACTGCATTCTGACATCCTGAAAAGAAATTCTGCATCCATTCTTTGGATTATGGTAGGCTGTGGTGCCAATATGAGCACTGGGCCTGCAATCTTGAGGTTATAGAGCACACCAGGTCCTGAGTCCTGCCCTAACTCCTATATCCTCTGTCTTTTCTGGTTTCACCACTCCACCTTCCTAGAATTCCAAGGCTCCAGTTCACTTGCTGGGAACATTCTGAGACTGGATGTCCTCACTGGCCTCCTCACCCCAGCCCTCAGCCTCATCCACCTCCCAGCTGCCTGAGCCCTACTTCCTTTAGAGTTTAATCTCCAGGGCATGATGGAACTGGAGACCCTCAAGTTAAATCATGGGGGAAGGGATTCTTTTATTTTTCCCCTGCTTCTGTTGCTGTGACTCACCCAGGAGCTCTCCCAGTGCTAAATGCTGTACCTAAATTATTAAATAAATCGATTGCACACCTCTCAAAAGTCCCATCATCTTGTGTTTTCAGTCTGTGTTGTTAGAAAGCTGTGTGGTTTAGCTGTCACCTTCATGCCTTGCTCCCCATTGGCTTCCCTTTAATAGAGTTCCATCACAGAGTTCTACATATGGTGCCAATATACTGTGTGTATAATATTATTTTATCTTATGTGTATTGATGAGAGGGCGTCAGTCCCCCTGGAACTGGAGTTACAGATAGTTGTGAGCTGCCGTGTGGGTGTTAGGAATTATACATGGGTCCTCTGGAAGAGCAGCCAGTGCTCCTAACCATTAATTCATTCATTTATTCTCTCTCTCTCTCTCTCTCTCTCTCTCTCTCTCTCTCTCTTTCTCTCTCTCTCTCTGGTTTTTTGAGACAAGGTTTCTCTGTGGCTTTTGGAGGCTGTCCTGAACTAGCTCTTGTAGACCAGGCTGACCTCGAACTCACAGGGATCTGCCTGCCTTTGCCTCCCAAGTGCTGGGATTAAAGGTGTGCGCCACCAATGCCCGTCAGCCATCTCTTCAGCCCCAACTTATTACATTCTAAAAGACCCTTTCCCCAAATACAGTAATCTCTGAGGTGCTTTGGGACAGGATCATGGTTCCCTTCCAGATTCCTACCTTCCACAACAGAGAACTCGTGGGCATCTTTGGTGCTCCCACTCTTACCTACTACCAAACCCTACAATCTTTCCCAAACATGTCATTTGACACTTTCTTTTGCCTCTGCCTCTATGGCCCTGCTGGGCCCCATATCTACCCCTCACCTATGATACTTACTGTTAATCTTGAACCACAAAAATCAAGAACCCATCACACTGTGGGGTTACATAGCTCTCATGCTATGTCATAGGCATGGTCTTCTCTGGGCTTTGCAGCAGAAGACAACATCAAGTGCTAGCAGGTTGAGGCTCTGGCAAGGTCTCTTCTTGGGTGGCAGATATTACCTTCTCACGGGTCCTTATGATATTGGGAAACGAGATAAATATGAATAACTAAGGAAAACTGCAGCTGTGTCTTGGTGTCTCTGTCTCCTAATGCTTACAATGGCCTTTTTTTGTTAAACCACCTTGAAATTTATGGTAGGTTATTCCCATTGTGTCAGGAATGAAAGCCTCTGGGCATCCAGACTTATGAACCAATGAAAGGTCTGCATCCTCGAAAGGTCTGCATCCTCGAAAGATCTAAGGTCATAATAGCATCCCTTGCATAATGGTACACATGCGCACATGCACACGCATGCAAACACATACACACACACACACACACACACACACACACACACACGTACACACAATTTGTGGGAATTATGGGAAGAAAACCCCTAAAAGGAAGATCTGGCCTACCATGATTTGGAAGGGGGAAGGGATCACCTAATTCAATGAGCATGTCAGCCATTTCATATATATTCATGAACCCATTTTTGAAATCCATAGTCCAGAAGCCACCAGGATGGTCACTGTCTTGGGGTAGATCACTTCAAACTTTATTTGTAACGTGTGCTTTGCTAAGTAAATTTCTAATCAAACTATGTCTCTTGGCTGAATTTTTTTAATTGAAAAAATTGTGGTTGTTCTTTTTGTTGTTGTTGTTGTTTTTGTTTTTTTTTTTTGTTTTTTGTTTTTTTGAGACAGGTTTTTTTGCATAGCCGTGGCTGTCCTAGAACTTGCTCTGTAGCCCAGGCAGGTCTCAAACTCACAGAGATCAGGATGCCTGTCTCTACCTCCTGAGTGCTGAGATTAAAGGCATATGCCACCACTGACCAGATTAACTGAAAATTTTTATATACTCTATTTTGGTCATGCATCCCAGTTCCCCTCAGATTCTTTCCACTTCTTTACTTACCTATCTCTCTCTCTCCCTCTCTCAAAAGCAAAATTAAAAATCCAAGAAATACATAGACATAAAAAACCTGCAAAAACACAAAAACAAAAATCAAAACTAGCAAGCAAAAGCCCCATAAAGTGAAAAATGTCCAAACAAAGCAAAATGAAACAGTCCACAAAAATACCATTAAGTTTGTTTTTTGTTGGGCAGCTACCCCTGAGGCCTACTGCTGCACATGAGGCCTGCCCTGAAGTGTGCTTAATATACCAGAGAGACTATTAGGAAAACATTTATTTTCCATTTGCCAGTAGATATTAATTTCTAATCACTTCTTGGCTAGGGGGTGGAACCCGGTGTCCACTTCTCCTTCTCAGTGCTGAGACCCAAGTGGCTTGAACCCATGCAGGTCTTCTGCATTCTTTGGCTGAATTATTTACTTCAAAAATACAAGACCAGAGAGACACCTGAACATCTGGTGCCAATTTCCTTCAGAGGCACGACAAACTCTGACTTGTGAGGCCAAAGGAGAAAAATGTGTGGAGGAGCCTTTCGAAACACCCAAGTGCCACTAAGGATTGTCTAGGCTTTGTCTGAATGTTACAGAAAAGTTAAAACTAAAAGGCAATTGAAACTGCCCTCCTGGGTGTTCAATAGCCAAAGCTCTGAGGCCTACACCAATGAGGAGAGAGAGGAAAAAAAGAACAGCCTTATGGTTGTTCAAAGGACCCAAACTGAAAGGCATTGTCCAAGAAGAAGATTACCCAAGAAATGACTTTGTTTAGATTCCAAAACAAAAACAAGACATTCATTTCTCTGCATCATGAGATTAAAGCAACTTCTGGCTGAAGTGGGAAGATTAAGGAAAACATCACCAGAATAAAGTGACTCTGTGGTTATTATGTAGGACCACTCAATCTGGTTACGTGGAACCACTCAATCTTTCCTCTCCATCCTGGGCCAACTTTCTAAGGGGAAATATGTACCCCTACCATATCATCAGCCTTGTTATCAGGGTTATTAGGATGCCAGCCTGAGCCCCAGTAGCTCTAACCACCTACTCCTGGCTCCTCTCAATGGGCCCATTAACAGACAAGTCATAGTGAATAGCAGAGAAAGGAGGATTATTCAGATTTGCCACATTGGGATGAAGAACAAAGATGTCGAACTAAGAGCAGGCAGAGTGGTGAGAAGGGGCAGAGTGGATACTGCTGGCGGTTGCAGCCCTCCAAAGGTCTGAGATTCGACCAAAGAACACCTGGCCTTGACCAGGTCAGGGGTCCTGGGCGGCCTGTCTTCTGGGACCAGATATGGATGTCCCTGGCCCATTGGGGGTCCCCTAGTGGGGACCATGAAGGACAGCAGCCACCTGAACCCAGATGGCGGCACTCCGTGGGCAAGAAGACCAAAGGTTCCTGTGGCCGTTCTCCTTTCTCTTGGGAACAGCAGACCCACGGGACCATTGTTCCACGAGACTGGATCCACACTAATGCACAAAGCGGCCTTACCTTTGCCTTGTGTCCATCCTGGAGCGGCCTTCTGCCACATAGGAAGCCAGTGCTGGGCCTAGGGCCACATTGAGGTGGGTGGCTGTCACCCCTGTGTCATCTACCCACCTTTCCCGTGTGCCCTAACCTCTGGGACAACACCACCCCGATGCCCAACCAGCCTGGGGTTGGCTGGCAGCTGTGACCTGGAAGCTTGGTTTGGCCCAAAGTGCTAGTTGCCAGCAGTTCCAAGGTCGCCCAGGCTGCTGGAGTGGTCACCAGGGTGGCCAGGGTCAAGTAGGTAGCTGCTGGATCTCAGAGGGCTGTGGTGGTGTTGGGGAGGGGGTGAGGTAGGGATAGGGGCCATTTCCCGAGTGGTGTCTGATAGCGGGTGGGGGATGAAGGGCTCTGGAGAGTATAGCGTTTTTTGACAGAGCAGGAGGTAGCTCACAAGTGTTGCCTGGGGTTGCCTAGGAGTTCGCTACTTTTGAGGTCATGTCCCAGGACCTTTTAGGCAAAGGGCAAGTGGAAAGAATATTCTTTTGATGTGTTCTTGTCTTCACTTCAGGGTTTCAACTGGGCCTGCCTCCTTCGGAATTTGTTGACATTCCCTCTTCCTTTTCCCCTGCTGTATGGTGTAGTACAATCCCATCACCCAGGCCCCTTTTCTTAAGATAACAAGCCAAGAACTCATTGAACACCCCTAAGTCAAGCTGTTCCTTGCATGCAACCTTCACCCCTGTAGGCTCGTGTTCATGTTGCTGGAATATACTGTGATGTCGACTAAATTAGGAAGGTAAACTTCAACCCAGCTCCAATACCTTTCATCTCCATCATGACCTGTCTCTTAGGTCTGCTAGTGCAAAATCATCTAATTCCTGATTTATTTTAAGGCCCAATCCATGAGTGGATAAGCATCCACAACACTTCTTGAGTTACTAAGAACCTGACAATAGACAGGCTATGGATCCGAAGGTAAACCAAATACCAGTGTCCTCTTAAACTAGGGTAACAGTAGAATGACTCCCAAAGACATTGTGGAAGACTCATCCATCAGCATCTTGCTCAACCATCCTTAGAGAAATTTCTCCTTGTAGCTGATGGGAACTAATAAAGACCCACAGACAGTGTGCAGAGAGTATAAGAGACTTCGGAACACTCAGTCCTAAATGGGATGTCTCTATCAAATCCCTCCTCTTCAGGACTCAGGAAACCCTGAGGATGAGGTTGCTGCAAGATTGGATGGTAAGAGTTAGAGGGCATCAGAGTATCTGAGAAAACAATGTCTTCTGAACAAGTGGCAGGAGCCACAAACATGACTTCTCAGACATTGTGGCAGCATGCAAAGGGCCTGCAGGTGTGTATGTCTGATGGGGTCCCAGCACTGAGAGGAGACATGCACACAAGTTCCCATTCCCAATCTGGAAACTCTCTTAAGGTCAGTCCCTATGTTTAGCAATAGGTGGCCAACACAAAATGATGTCTTGGCTTCTGTGGATTATTTTTTTGTGATCTTATAATTCTTTGGATTTTTTTTTAACATCACAGGTCCTTTGTGTATAGCTTATTGCTCCGTGTTTTGTGTATTTGTGGGATTCCTGTGCTAACATGTGTCTCTGAGTCTATAGCTTATTGTGAGTTTTCTTCTGTTTTTTTTTTTTTTTGTCCTCTTCTTTCTTCTTTTTGTTTGGTCTTTTAAATTTAGTTTTATCACTTAGATTTCTGTTTCGTAAAGGGAGACAGTGCGGTACTGATGGGAGGGGAAGCAGGGAAGATACCTCAGGAATTATAGAGGGGAAAGTAATCACAAGAAATTAGATGAAGAAATTTCAACAAAGTAACAAGTAAACTTAGTGAGGTAGAAAAAAAAACCCTCATGAACTTCCATGTCTAAAACTGTTACATGACCAATCCTGTGTTTTATATATTATAAAATAAATGTTAGAGCGATAGTTTGTGGAAAACACTTTACTAAATTTTGTCTTATCAAGAAACATTTAATAAAATGCATAGGATTATTACTAAGTTGAATATAATAGAAAGGTTATTAAAATCACAAGGTCAAAAATAAATTCCATGCAATAAAATCAATGCTTATATAAAAAAAAAAACACCAAAGATGTCCAGTGACCTCCCTAGCCATCCGTAGATCCTGTCATGAAATTTGAGTATAAACAGAGGGCAGCAGGTGTGCATAGCTAAGCAGTCCTGGTCAAGGTGTGGTCCTGCCCATCACTGACCCATCCCTGTCAGCTCCAGTCTCTCCTGAAAGGTGATTTGATGAGTTCTCAGAACTCTGTGAGATCTCTCTGGGAGACAAGCTCCCCTTCTGGCTTTTCCCTTTGCCAGTGTGAAACTCCTGTAGAAATTTCAATTATTTGTGGACTGTAACTCAATAATCTGATAGCTGAAGGGAGAGACACACATGTCTCTCAGAATAGCATACCTGTTAGGAATGTCCTGGGAACAGGAAGAAAGAAGCAAAGGCCATCTCTCCACAGTGGAAAACCCTGTTATCGTTGCTGTGGCCACCAGGAAGAGGTCACACAAACAGAAGCAGCAGATGGTGCCATGGAACTGATTTGAGGGCATTTTCAGCAGGAGAAGCAATGACCTGAGCATGCCTCAGACACACAGCACCAGAGAGATTGGGTCCCTCAGCAGGGGCTCCACGGTGTAAGGGGCTCAAGAAGGTATAAGGAGGAAATGTTCTCCCAAAACCTTTGTACCTGTCAAGGCCATTCTGGAAGCCCCATTCTGTAGAAGAGGAGCCCACTGTTGAGAGGGACAAGGGAACCTGCTCAAAGACAATAGGGTGTAAGAGCCAGAGTCCCAACCAGGCCATCCCTAAAGACATAGGCCAAGTAAGAGTTTTCCTTCAGTATGAATTCCACAGGAAATTACCTCAGAAAAACCACATTCCAACCAAAGAGAGTCAACAGACCAAAGAAAAACTACCAAACAAATATAGAGTAAACAGGAAAGACAAGAACAAGGAAGAAACCACGTGTAGCTTCCTTCACACCTGACCCTGGGCAGGGATATAAAGGCCCCAGACTCAGGATGCTCCACACCTGCACACTTCCCTCTACACCTGCTCCTCTGACCTACTCCATCCTCAACCCAACACCAGAACCATGAGCTGCTGTGGCTGTTCAGGAGGCTGTGGCTCCAGCTGTGGGGGCTGTGGCTCCAGCTGCTGCAAGCCTGTGTGCTGCTGTGTACCTGCCTGTTCCTGCTCCAGCTGTGGAGGCTGTGGTTCTAGCTGCTGCAAGCCTGTGTGCTGCTGCAAGCCTGTGTGCTGCTGTGTACCTGCCTGCTCCTGCTCCAGCTGTGGGGGCTGCAATGGAGGCTGTGGTTCCTGTGGAGGTTGCAAGTCCAGCTGCTGCCAGCCATGCTGCTGTCAATCCAGTTGTTGTAAACCCTGCTGTTCTTCAGGCTGTGGGTCCTCCTACTGTCAATCCAGCTGCTGTAAACCCTGTTGCTGCCAGTCCAGTTGCTGCAAGCCCTGCTGCTCTTCAGGCTGTGGGTCATCTTGCTGTCAGTCCAGCTGCTGCAAGCCCTGCTGCTGTCAATCCAGCTGCTGCAAGCCCTGCTGCTGTCAATCCAGCTGCTGCAAGCCCTGCTGCTGTCAATCCAGCTGCTGCAAGCCCTGCTGCTGTCAATCCAGCTGCTGCAAGCCCTGCTGCTGTCAATCCAGCTGCTGCAAGCCCTGCTGCTGTCAATCCAGCTGCTGCAAGCCCTGCTGCTGTCAATCCAGCTGCTGCAAGCCCTGCTGCTGTCAATCCAGCTGCTGCAAGCCCTGCTGCTCTTCAGGCTGTGGGTCATCTTGTTGTCAGTCCAGCTGCTGCAAGCCCTGCTGCTCTTCAGGCTGTGGGTCATCTTGTTGTCAGTCCAGCTGCTGCAAGCCCTGCTGCTCTTCAGGCTGTGGGTCATCTTGTTGTCAGTCCAGCTGCTGCAAGCCCTGCTGCTCTTCAGGCTGTGGGTCATCTTGTTGTCAGTCCAGCTGCTGCAAGCCCTGCTGCTCTTCAGGCTGTGGGTCATCTTGTTGTCAGTCCAGCTGCTGCAAGCCCTGCTGCTCTTCAGGCTGTGGGTCATCTTGCTGTCAGTCCAGCTGCTGCAAGCCCTGCTGTTGTTAATCCAGCTACTGTACTCCTAAGGTTCTGGTCACAGTCCTCCAGTAATCCTGCAGACCAGCTCCCTCCAGACAGGGACATGAGTGGCAGCTCTGAGCCCTGAGCCCTGAGGTTCACTCCTGCATCTTTATCCTCCAGCCCTGAAGCTACATCTCTAGACTGAGTGGGTTATGTCCTGGTGTGGAGAAGAAGACCTCTTGCTGGGAATTCACTCCTCCTTCACACTCAGTAGACAGGAACTCCGTCGACTTCCTTCTCTCCAGTCTCCAACACTCTGACCTCCTTGGTATCTGGTCTCACCTAGATGCTCCATCAAGTCCACAGGTAAGTGGCAGACTATGGAGTTCCCTACAATTTGCAGCCCCATGGAGCTGTGAACTCCTTTCCAATCAAGCATTGGCCAGGCCAGGCCTAGCTCCACTCGACCACTTCTGGGTTTCTGTTCTTTCTGATTCTATCTGGGTGCGTACTGTGCCTTTGATACAAACATGTTTCAATAAACATTCTATGCCCACTGTAATTATCATGTCATTCTTTGTTCTCTTAAGTAAAACCTACCGTTTTCTCTCTACCCAGTTTATCCTCTGAGGTTCCTTGTGTTAGTTCCATGTGCACTCTTATGCCGTCTTCCCCACACCCCAACTCTCACCAGAGTTAACCCCATCATACCCAATATGGAGTGCACTGGGCCAGAGAGGCTAGACCCCATTGCAGCTCTCTTGGAGTTGGGCATCTTTGGAGAATCTGGGAACAGACATGGCACAGTGGGTGTTTTTAAGTCACTGAGTCAAAAACAAACAATTCAAAGGCAGCCCTGTGAGGACTGGACAATGCTAGGGGTGCTGCTGTATCTCTCCTGGGTGCTGCCAGAACTTCTGCTCCTAGTTATGTGGCCTGAGGATACACTGGAGGTGTCCAAACCTGCCTTCCTTGACCAGGATACATTTAGGCTTGCTGAAGAGGAATTGTAAAGCATGTTAAGATCCTTTGTCTATGTCTTGTTGTCTCTTACTGTCACCATGAGTTAAGATAAAAAGAAGTAAACAGTTCCTGTCTTCAGTCACATAGGCCATTTCACATCTGTTGCAGCTCATATGGTCCAAGGTTTATTCGTCTATCAACATCATAGGCCACATTCCATCGATGCAGGGATGTCTGATGGACAGTGGGGGTTAGAATCAGAAACAGTTTTACAGAATATATGTCATCAAGATGGTAGAGCTAATGTCCGTGTTCATAATTTCTCATGCCCCCCTTTCTAGTTCAGGGCCTCTACCAACTCAGCTACATCCAAGCTCCAGACTTACGTATTTCTTACTACAAGAATTAAGGTCCCTAGACCACTGTAAGAAATTACTAGAAACAGAATGGGTTCAAATAGGAAAAATGTATTTTCTCAGAAAGTAGGAAACCTGAAGTCTAAACCCAAGGTCTTAGCCAAGCACTCCCTCCTTTCTAGAGATTGAGGGAGAATGGATGTTTCATCTGGTGGATGCTGGCATTCTTAGTGTCTTAGTTACTTTTCCATCGTCGTCGTGGGAAGACATCATGACCAAGGTATATCATTGAAGAAAGGGTTCGTTGGGAGTTTACAGTTTCAGAGAGTAAGAGTCCATGGCCATCACAGCCAGGAGCATGGCAGCAGGCAGTAATTGAGAGCTTACATCCTGAGACAACATGAGGAAGAGAGAAAAATAAGGGCTTCTGGAACCTCAAAGCCTACCTCCAGTGATAAACCTCCTCCAACAAGGCCTCACCTCCTTAACAGTTCACCAACTGGGGACCAAGTATTCAAATATATGAGCCTATGGGAGCCATTTTCATTCAGACCACCACAGACAGGCTGGTGGTTGCAGCCTTCTAACTTGTCTTCCTCCCTCCCTGGTCACATTCCCTCTGCCTTTGTGGGCCTCTGTCTCTCTATTTTATAAGGATATGGTGGGACTTAAGGCTAACCCAGATATTCCAGGTAAGTTCATTTTTTTTCATAATAACCCATGTTGCAGGAGCATCATTGGGTTCAGGAGACCTGTCCAGGCCACACCTGAGAGGGAGCGTGGATTGGGGAAAGAAACAAACAAGCAACAAGAGATAGAGTTGGGACGGCACCTGATGAGTAGCAGGGTCAGCTCCAAGCCCTTATACACCTTATACTCAAAGCCCTTATACACTCCAATCAAAGGGGGCAAGCAGAAGACTTCCTTGCCCAGGTACAAAGAACAAGCAAGAATAACTACCTTCTCAATACCCAAAACATCTGGTAACCACACCCTAAACCAAATATCAACTTTTATGGGCCCCGACATCTTTTGGTTTTGTTGTTTGAGTTTATTGAGGGGCTAATTTAAATTTAATTTTATTCTATGTGTGTGGGTGCTTTGCCTGCATATATGTCTGCTCACCATGTGTGTGTGGTATTTGTAGAAGCCAGAAGAGAGTGTTGGATCCCTTGAAACTGGAGTTACAGGTGGTTATAAGCAACCATGTGGTGCTGGGAATTGAACATAGGTCTTTTATAAGAGCAGCAAGTGCTCTTAACCACCAAGCCATCTCTTCAGCCCTGTTTCTTGTTTTTAATCAGACAAGATCTCAGTCTGTGCTAAGTCTGGCCTTGAACTCAAGAAATCCTCTTGTCTCTATCTTTGAAGTCCTGAGGCTATAGGCATAAGACACCATCCTAGACAACATCTAGACTCATTTCTACATTCTTTATCTGGTTGTCTCTGCAAATTCTCTTTCAAAATAAGCTAAGGCCACCCCTGTGTTCCATGTGTGATGCTCACAGACTCCAGGAATTTCACATGGCATGCATTTTGGAGAACTACCATTCTTTATTCTCAGCCTCCAGATATTCACATAAGCCCTGTGTGCAGAGCACATTCAGCCGCCCCACCCCACCTCCATTCCAGCCACACTCAATCATCCTACCACCTCTCTAAGCATACTTCTGTGTTAGCATTAGTCTTCTCATCAATGTGACAAAGCACTTTAAGGAGGAGTAAGGGATGTGCTTAGACTCACAGTTTGAAGGTACCATCCATCATACTGTAGAAGGCATGGAAGCAGGAATGTTTCCAGTTAGAAAGCAGAGAGAGAGAGAGAGAGATGAGTGCCAGCTTTCCATTTGCTTTCTTCCCTTCCCTCAGTCCAGGACCCAAGCCCATGAATACTGGCACCCACATTCAGAGTAGGTCTTCACACCTCTCTTAAAGCTCTCTGGAATTTCCTTCACAGAAACATTCAGAAGTATGTCTCTTAGGTGATTTTTAATCCCATTAAATTGAGAAACAAGATTAGCCATCACTCCCACCCACTCCAACATCTGCACCAGCAGTAGAAGGTACAAATCTGTACAGAGCACTGTTAGCTCCAGAACCCCAATTGTCACCATCCAAACTATCCAGAATAGGTGCTGGTGAGACTCTGGGCAGGATCTACTTGGACCAATGATGCCAGTGCTCTATGGCATAGGGGTGGCAAGGCAGAAGAAGACATTTGCAGACATTTGGAGATGAAGAAATCCTCAGCATGTCTGAGATCCTGCCAGGCAAATTTCATTAGGGACTGGGGTTTTAGGTAAGAACTATATGGTTTGGTACACTGTTTTGTAGACCACAAAGGTCCCACTGGCCTCCAAGCCACCCTCAGGGCAACACCCAGGCAGCCGAGAAGTCTCACCATTCCATTCCTTACCTGGAGAGCACAGACATCCCTGCTTTCTTTCCCTTTGTCTTAGTTGCCTTCCAGTTGCTGTGGTAAAATCCAGACATCAAGGTAAAGAATAGAAGAGTTTATTTGGGATTATGGCTCCAGATAGCTAAGAGTCCATCATGGTGGGGAAACATGGCTGCTGCAGCAGGAAGCTGAGAGCTCACAGGAGAAGCAGAAAGAACAATTGGAAATGGCATGAGTCTTTAAACTCTCTAAACTTGCCTTTAGTGACACACTTTCTTCCAACAAGGCCATATCTCCTAAGCCTCCCTGTACTGGGTGGTTTGGTGAGTCAACTTGACACAAACTATGGAGTCATCAGAGGAAGGAGCCTCAGCTAAGGAAATGCCTCCTTGAGATCCAGCTGTAAGACATTTTTCATTTAGGGATCAATTGGGGGCAGGTCCAGCCCACCCGGTGGTGCCATCCCTGGGCTGTTGGTCCTGGGTTCTATAAGAGGGTGGGCTGAGAAAGCCATGGAAAGTGAGCAAGTAAGCAGCTCCCCCAAGGCCTCTGACATCCTGCTCTGTTTAAGTTCCTGTCCTGACTTCCTTCCATGGTGAACAACAATGCTGAAGTGTAAGCCTAATAAACCCTTTTCTACCCAACTTGCTTTTGGTCATGGTGTTTTATCACAGCAATAGAAATCCTAAGGTAAATTGGTACCAGCATAATGGAGCATTGCTGTGACAGACCTGACAGTGTTTGGGGAGGGTTGTGGAAGGACATCGGAACTTTGGGCTAGAAGAACCATTGAGTGTTAAGAGCTCAGTGAGGTGTTCTTTAGGAATTGGAAGATAAGAATGATGAGAGGAGTGCAGAAGATGGAGGCCTGGCTTGCACAGTTTCAGAGGGAAGATTAAAGACTATCAGGGCCATATGTTATTTTGATTAAAACCCCGTGGTTCTGGTTAGCTGGGGCTGAAGAATCAGCTGTAGTTAATAAGATACCAGAACTACTAAGGCAAAATTTTGCTTTGCTGGGATACTTGATACTGGTCATCTGGAGCTAAGAAATCAGTGGTGATTAAGAAGAGATCAGCATCCTTGGTGACATCTTCTGGGAAGTGTTTCCTGAGAGCATAGGGAAGCTGTGTTCCAGAGGTGGCTAGGGTTTTGCCTTATGCTGGTAGCCAGACTTGGTAATGTGTAAGCGTCACCCAGGTGGTACAGGTTTGGAAGGCATGAAGGTGTCATAGAGAGAAGCTAAGGCTTGACACTGTGAGAGGTCAGGTAAGGCCATTGCTGAAGGTGTAGCCTCAGTGGCGGTTGAAGACACAGGACTGAAGGGA